TCCATCCATCCATCCATCCATCCATCCATCCATCCATCCATCCATCCATCCATCCATCCATCATCTATCTATCCATCTATCCATGGATTCTGGGGAATTCTGGGAGCTGAAGTCCAACACATCTTGAAGTTTCCAAGGTTGAGAAACACTGCATTGGATGATCTTAAGCAAGACCTGTCACTCAGACTTCACTGATCCTGCTTGCAAGTTGTGGACATTAGTGATCTAACTTGCAGACTGGGTTTGCACAACATGTTAGCCCATGGTTGTATTTATTTTATTTTTATTTTATTTATGCAATTTCTGTAGCCACCCATCTCAATCGCAGTGACTCTGGGCGGTGGTTTATTTAATCATGGTCTACAAGAATCAACCAGTAGTCTGGGTTCTAACTGCTCACTTGGATCCCAGACAAGTTCCATTTTATCCTACCATGTTAAGTTAGACGTAGCCACTGAAACAGTTACATTTTAATTGAGCGGTATTGCCAAAAAGTTGTTGTAACTTTCCCAGCCTGTGCTTTCCAGGTGGCCTAAACTATGCTGATAAGAAATGATGGGAATTGTAATCCAATGCATCTGGGGGTTTAGGTTGGGGGTGGTTAGTTAGGTAACTGACTTGCCTTGGAAATTGTATGTAAACGGCTGCTGTCCCTTGTATGGGAAGCCTAGAGAATCTGGCATGAATTTGACTCAACCCAATGTTCAGGTAGAGCAGGAATACATTCAGCTTTTGAACAACGTGCCCAGGGCCACATTCCACAAAAAGTGGAAATGCAAGGACTGATTTAATTGAAATGAATTAATGAAACACATTTAGCAGGATTGATTCCCCCTGTATGATAGCTCAGTGGCAAATTTCGAGAAGACCTTGGGGGACCACCTGCAGTCCTGGGTCCACATCTTGTGCTTTTGGGATGGAAGGAGGGGACAGGGGGAAGCCACCGCTGTGAAAACGAGCCCTTTGGAATTCAAGATCGTAACAAAATGTACCTGATGCTGGAGGGCAGGCAAGGCATCCTGAAGCAACATGGTCTTAAACGGGTTCCACTTTTAATGCCCACCTTCCCCAGGCGTAAAAAGCAGAGCTTCCATCCCCTTCCACCTTCCAGCTACCAGCCTAAGAAATAGGGGACCCCTAAGTCCTGAGCATCTTATTTTCCCTCTGTGCCCTCACCAGCCCTTTGCCGAGATCGCCCGCCTGACAGACGTGCAGGAAGGCATCATCGTCCGCTGCATTCAGCGCCTGGATGAAACCTGTCGCGAGATGCGCAACGCCGCCCGGGTGACAGGGGAGCCGACCCTGCACGCAAAGATGGAAGCTGCCTCCAACATGATCAAGAGAGACATTGTCTTTGCTGCTAGTCTCTACACCCAGTGAGTGGAGATGCTGGCTGGACCGGATCCCTTTTGACATCCTGGAAACTTCTCTCTCTTATTCTGACCTCTAAGAGGTTACAATGCGTCTTCAGATATAAACAATAAAAATATGCACTTGGGCCAAACAAGGGGAGTTGGTGGCACATCCTTAGGTAGCAAAGGATGAAGGCCTGATAGGCTGACACCTCCTTTGCCGGAAGGAACGATGCTCCATCCTGTCTCCTGTCTGCTGGCCCCTTTCCTCTGATAACTGGATTGACGCTAGGTCCGGCGTGTTTAACCAGAAGCCGCTGGTTAGCTTGTACTTCTCCCAAAAAATCCCATAGTTCTGCACTGAGGCAAAACATAAAATATAGAAGGGGGCAACGGGGAGAGGTATCTGACTTAACAAAAATACCTGTGAGAAGGGACTGGAGTTTAGTTGATCCCAGGCAGAACGTGAGCCAGCAGTGTGTTGCAGCAAAAGGTGTGGGGGGGGGGGGAACTTGTGTGAGTTCAGAACGTATTAAAAGAATTCTACATTCTAAGACTTAAGTCTAAACTGCTGAGTGTTTTTCTGCTCTTTTTTGGGGGGGCACCTTTAAGTCAGCTTTGACTCCTAGCAACTGCCTGGACAAGGGCCTGTAGTTTCCTTGGCAAGATTTTTGGAAATGGTTTGCCTTGTTCTTCTTCCTAGGACTGAGGGAGAGTGATTGGCCCAAAGTCACCCAGCTTGGCATCATGTCTAAGGCAGGACTACAACTCAGCTTCTACCCTGGTGTCTTTAACCACTACACCAAACTGGCTCTCTTTTGCATTTATTATATCTCATTAAAATACAGTATTCAGTTCTAGTCTAGCAGAAGATGGACAGTTGGATGGAAATATTGAAAATGCACTGCAGTGGTTAGCCTGGAGACCTGAAGTCTAAGAAGGACCAATTCTAGCAACCCTCTAGTGCTCTCACATAGCATCCTTGCCCCAGAAAATACATGAATTCTACTAAACTAAGTTGAAGAACATAGATTTCAGTTGAACAGGAGGAACATTAATAGCCCTTTGATAACAGTGTCCTTTATTAATAGAGGCAGGTGGCCTCGCCCTTCTTGGATGTCTCCACCGAGAAGCTGGAGAGCTCTCTTTGAGGGGTGATGGGCTTATAGATGACTTGTTCTCTGATACATTGCTTCTGCCTGAAACTTTCTACATGTTAGTGGGATTGTAGTAGAATTGGTAGGGGTACATTTGAAACCAGGACACATCACCTTGAAGCACAGATTGACCACACTGGAGGCAAAGACAGACCTGAAGAAGAGTAGAGTTGCAGCCCTTCTTCATAGACTGATGCAAATTAGAATCAATTAGGATCTGTATTTGATTGGATGGAGCAGCCAAGCATCTCATTGGATGCAACATATTGTGTGTGTGGCATGGTCAGTGAGGCTGTTAGGGTGTAACTAGGAGGTAATGAGGCAGGACTACAAAGACAATGAAGTTTTGAAAGAACACAGGCAATTATGCCACAGACATAGTTTCTTTTTAGGGAGTTATGTTCTTTTGGCTACCCAGGATCTTTCTCCCAGTTTATCAGTATTTCTTAACCTTGTGTTTTATGGCTGAGCTGACAAGTTTAGTTTCCCTGGGAAAGTGTTTTTGTCATGGGGTAGTTGCCCAATTTGATGCCATATAGCTGAGCCGGTGCTTTGTTTTCCCTGGGAAGATGTATTTGGGTAAGGGGCTTTTAACTTGTCTCCCACTCCCCACAATCTCCTACAGAACTAATTTGAGGATTCATCCAAGCAGTCAAGTACTGGCTAAACTGGGGTTCAGTGGAATCCCAGAATGACCTTGAAGGTCATCTAAACCAGTGTTTCTCAAACTTGGCAACTTTAAGATGTGTGGACTTCAACTCCCAGAATTCTCCAGCCCCAGCCAACTACTTTAAGATGTGTGGACTTCAACTCCCAGAATTCTCCAGCCCCAGCCAACTACTTTAAGATGTGTGGACTTCAACTCCCAGAATTCTCCAGCCCCAGCCAACTACTTTAAGATGTGTGGACTTCAACTCCCAGAATTCTGGGAGTTGGCTGGGGCTGGAGAATTCTGGGAGTTGAAGTCCACACATCTTAAAGTTGCCAAATTTGAGAAACACTGGATTCTAATCCAACCCTCTATCCAGTGCAGGAATAACATGAGAAGCCTTAATACTTCTGAAAGGCACTCTTGAAGATTCAAAGATGAAAGTATTGGCTTCTCCAATTCGATGTCTTCCAGATGTACTGTGACTTTAATTCCAAGAATTCCTAGCCAATGTTACAGGATGCCAGTGGGAAAAGTTAGTGGTAAATCTTAAGCGCCAAGTTTAAAGAGATGGAGTACCTAAAACTGCACTTATTCCATGTGTTGGAAGCAGAACCCTATTTTTTTCAAGGCAAAATTCTAGCTGTTATGGCTGCAAAGACTGGTCGTGTGTGATGTTGGCTAATTTATTCTGCAACAGGAAACAAACACCTTGCACAAGAAAATGCCCAGGGAACCAGGGATGACAAGTGCAACATGAATCCCTAGGATCTCTTCTCATTCTTTCCCCACACTCACACATCATGGGTTATAGAGTTCGGCAAAACTAGAAGCTTGCAAACATTCAGAGGTATCCCTCTTTACTCAGCTTGAGACCACTGCTCATTTTCCACCATCTGTATTGTAGAGCTGTACACCTTAGTTTAATTTATTGTAGCCAATTTTTGCCACCACGAGAGCAACAGAAGCTGCCTTTACTAACCTGAGTAGCCTTGCGTATCTCCATGGCCAGAACCATGCATTGCATGAGACCCTAAATGGGATCTGATTCTCAGCTTAGCAGGGTGCATGACACCAACTGCAGTTAACTCTCATCTGCTCCAAATCTGTGTGACTCAGGGGCTCCCATGAAGCCACTGCTCTTTGCCAGGCAACACTGGGAATCTACCTACTGTGATGGACAACCACAATGCTGGGTCATGAGCAAGCAGCTTTTAGCAGGAGAGGACCCTGGGTCCACCTGATACCCCTAGGAGGTCATCTCCTGCAAAGTTCTGGTCCTTCCCTCTAACAGACTGATCCAATTCATACACTAGGAATAATGTGTGTCCCAAATTACCCACAACTGGCTGAACATCATGCAAACCTCATCCATTCTCAAACCACCTTACTTGGCTTCAATTAGGCCCCCACCAACAGAAAAGAAACTCTCTAGTTCATAGTTACACTTTTGCTCCCTCCTTTTATTGTATGTAAGCCACAGGTGACATGAGAAAGAACATGCTCCAGAAGCACCAGCAGGAGACAATGCGTGAGCAGTTGGTTCTTCCTTCCTTTGTTGACACAGCAGTGCCATAGCTCTGTCTCCCCGTTCTCCAAGCAGCAGGTAACAGATTCTTGGTGTTTGTTTCCTTCTACCACCCACCTGAGCCTGTAAGGTGCAGCAGCTTCTAGGCCCAAGACCAGCTTGGCTTCCAGTGCATCAGCCTGGGATCCATGATGTTGGGGGCTTCTCTGCACTCAAAGACTCCACATACCAGTCAGGCAGGAAACAATATTGAGAATCCTGATGCACCGTGAAGGAAACTGGGTGCCCTGGGTCCCAGGCAAAGAGATGAACCAACCTGGGAGAGAGGAAGGAAGAAGCAAAAGTTTGAGATCAGAGCAGCAGATGTTCAGTTCCCTAGAGAGCACTGAGAAACAGTTCCCATCATCCACCACCATGGTTGCAGAAGCTAGGATTGTTGGGCTCTCTCTTCAGGATCACCTTTTGACACCTCACTGTTACCAATGGTTGAGAACGGAAGAGGAGACATATCTCTCCTAAGTCTTGCAAAGATGGAGAACCTATCACCTTCCAGATGTTGCTGAAGTCCAGCTTCTAGCATCCCTTGTCATTGGCCACACTAGTTGTGGTTGCTAGGAGTTTAGCAACTTCCAGAGGGCCTCAGGCTCCATTTCTCAGTCTAGCCAACTGCTGGATGAACATGGTTTACTGCCGTGCATGTCAAAATTATAACTACTCACTTTGGATTGTCTTCCGTCACCACTGTCTTCAAAAAGGCTAGAAAAGCAGCACAGAAATTCATACACACAGCTGGCTTCCAGCAGCCTGGATCTTCCTGTCAGAGTAGGGAAGAAAGAGTATAACTTTTTAACTATGAGCCACCCAGAGTCACCTGTTGGGGGGAGATGGGCGGCATACAAATTTAAGAATGAATGAATGAATGAA